ACCCTAAAACTAGAAAAAGAAGCTATTTATACTAGGCTAAAAAATCTGGACAAAAATGCCCCTGCGGGGTTAGTGCGGACCGCACAAAATGGACTGCGGTCCGCACTGGGGTTTTGACCTTGAAACATAGCTCTCTGAATCTTGGCATCGCGGACCGTAGAGAATGGACTGCGACCGCGGAGGCTTCTAGTGCGGTCCGCGTAAAATGGACTGCGGATCGCGGAGGCTTGAGACTCTAAAAATGCAACCTCTCTGAATCTTGGCTCTGTGGACCGCAGTAAATCGACTGCGGCCGCGTTGCCCTCAGTGCGGACCGCACAAAACCTAGTGCGGTCGTACTGCCTCTTAGCTTGGAATTGAGCCTCTCTGAATCTCCTAGTGCGGACTGCACAAAATGGTGTGCGGCCGCACTGGGCTTGTTTTTGCTGAACTTGTCCTGTTTTTGGCACTTGTGCAAGTTTCACTCCTTTTGAGCTGATCTTTGACATCTCGTCACTTTGATGATCAAACCTGCAATCAAGTACAACTTGTGAGCCTTTTTGGGACTATTTTGGATGAATTTCTAGTCAAAGCATAAGCAAGAAGGAGTATAAAATGCGTCAAAATCCCTAGTTATCGGAGGCGGACTTGTCCGTATTAAACGAACAAATTACCTCTTTGAAAGCGGAGGATGTGCGACGGCGATCGCAACCCTCTACATCCCATGCTTCGGCAGACCCTGTCGTGCCACGAGATTTATATGAGATGTGGGTTCATGCCAAAGCTCTGCTTGACGTATATAAGTCTCTTCATGGTGATGGGAAGGTGTCGGTCCCTTGTCCTTGGTGACGGTTTTTGCCGTAAAGGTGTTATTTCGAGTTAATGTCAAAATATTAACCCATTGTATTTCGAGCAAGGTCGAACCCTTGTCTTTGGCGATGACTTTTGCCGTAAGGGTGTTATTTCGAGTTAATGTCGAAATGCTAACCTGGTGAGTTTCGAGCAAGGTCGAACTCTTGTTTTTGGCGACGGCTTTTTCCGTAAGGGTGTTATTTCGAGTTAATGTCGAAATGTTAACCCGTTGCATTTCGAGCAAGGTCGAACCCTTGTTTTTGGCGACGGCTTTTGCCTTAAGGTTGTTATTTCGAGTTAATGTCGAAATGTTAACCCGTTGCGTTTCGAGCGAGGTTGAACTCTTGCTTGCAAAAGAAGATCGATGGAGGATAAAATGTTATTTTATTCATTTACTGGAGTATCGCACATGTCAATTTCATTCATTCATTGGAGATAAATGTCGATTTCGTGCATACATTGGAGATACATGTCGATTTTGCACATACATTGGAGATACATGTCGATTCCGTACATACATTGAAGTTTCTTGTATTTAGTCCCTTCATTGCTCGGCCTAGAGATGTCATCGGCAGGCTGAGCGACAATTTATACTTTAAACTTTGAGACGTCCCCCTCATCGCCTCGTTAAAAATCTCACCGAGAAAACCCAGTTGGAACAAAACTCGGGTGAGGGAAAGAGAATACGACTTGGGTGGCGTCATTTTTCAGAAGTGGAGGTATTTGAGGTGGGCCACATTCCAGTTGTTTTGTAGTAGTTTTCCCTCCATTGTTTCTAGTTCGAATGCCCCGTTGTTTGTTGCCGCCGTGATTTTATTATGGCCCGTCCCGGTTGGTTCCCAGTTTTCCTTCTTTTGGGTCTTTGGTTGCTTATGTTTTGGCCTTGAGGACGTAGTCCCCGACTTTGAGTGGTCTTACTTTTGCCTTCTTTTCGTAGTACCTTTCCGCTTGTTGTTTTTCGGCTACCATCCTTACATGAGCCATATCTCTCCGTTCTTCTACTTCGTCCAGGTCTTGTACTCTGTTTTCGTCGTTGTTTGGCCCACTCTCATTGGAGTATCTTAGGCTTGGTTCTCCGACCTCAACGGGTATAACGGCATCAGTTCCTTAGACTAACGAATATGGCATTTCGCCTGTGCTAGTTTTCGGCTTAGTGCGGTAGGCCCATAATGCTTCTGGTAGCAGCTGTGGCCATAGCCCTTTGGCGTCTTCAAGCTTTTTCTTTAGTATATTCAATATTTTTTTGTTGGAGGATTCTGCCTGACAGTTGCCAGCGGGATGGTATGGCGTGGAGAGTATTCATTTGATGCGTGATTTTTCGAATAACTCTGTCATCTTTTTTTCGACGAACTGAGGTCCGTTGTCGCAGCTGATTTCTTTGGGGATGCCGAAGCGGCATATGATGTTTTTCCATATGTATGTAATGACTTCCTGCTTGCGTATTTGGGCGTACACGCCTACTTCCACCCATTTGGAAAAATAGTCAGTTAAAACTAAAAGGAAATGTGTCTTACCTCGCCCTGCTGGGTGGGGTCCGACGATATCTATTCCCCATTTTATGAATGGCCATGGTGAAGTGACGGGGTGCAGGAGCTCACCCCCTTGGTGTATCATAGGTGCGTACTTTTGGCATAGTTCACATTTCCTGATGTAATCTGCAGCCTCCCTTTTCATAGTGGGCCAGTAATATCCTGCCCGGATAAGGCATCTGACGAGTGCTCGGTTGCCTGCATGGGCACCGCAGTGACCCTCGTGTACTTCTTCGAGCACACGTCTTGTTTGATTTGGTCCTAGTCACTTTGCCAAAGGACCGCCAAACGTCCTTTTGTAAAGGTCGCGATTTATAAGGTTGTACCTGGCCGCCTGTATCCGAAGCTTTTTGGCCTCTTTTTTGTCTTGTGGGAGTGTTCCCTCCTGCAAATATGTTATGATGTGGTTGCGCTAGTCCCAAGTTAAATTTATAGAATGTACCTCGACTTGGTTTATTAATGAGTGGGGGAGGGTGACCACGTTTTCCTTGGTGATATTTTTGGTTGCTGCTGCCAGTTTGGCAAAACCGTCTGCTTCAATGTTTTGCGCCCGGGGTATCTGGTCGAGTCGGCATTCATCGAATTCTTGTAGTAGCTTATAGATTTCTGTCTGGTATTTCTGTAGCCTCTGCTCCTTGATTTGGAAAGTCCCAGTAACTTGGTTTACAACGAGTTGAGAGTCGTAGCGGAGGATGACCCGTAGTGCACCATACTTGAGGGCCAATTTCAGTCCTGCAATTACTGCCTCATACTCGGCCTCATTGTTAGTCATTTCAAGACACCGTATGGATTGGCAAATCACTTCTCCTATTGGGACTTCAAGTACGAGTCCCAATCCAGATCCCGACGCATTGGATGCACCGTTGGTGTAGAGGATCCAGAGGTCGGGTCATCTAGGGGAGGTGCGAAACGCTTCTTGTTCGACCTCGGGCAGTATTTCTACACTTAAGTCGGTGACGAAATCGCCGAGTACTTGCGACTTTATCGCAGTTCGCGGTTGATATGTTATATCGTGCTCGCTCAATTCTATGGCCCGTTTGGCCAATCTACCTGACAGTTCGGGTTTGTAAAGGATGCTCCTGAGGGAAAAAGTCGTCACCACCTTTATGGGGTGACATTGAAAATATGGTCTAAGCTTTCGTGAAGCCATGACCAACGCCAGAGCCAATTTTTTGAGGTGGGGATACCTCATTTCGTCATAAATTAAGGTTTTGCTAATATAGTAATCGAGGATTGCGTACCTTTGTTTTCGCGTACCAAAACTGCACTTACCGCGACTTCGGAGATGGCTAGGTAGACAAGGAGGCATTCGCCTGGATCTGCCTTGGCGAGTAATAGCGGCGAGGACAAGTATGCTTTCAGTTTTCTTAGGGCGTCGACACATTCCAAATTCCACTAGAGCCCGTTATCTTTCTTTAGCACATTAAAAAATTTATGGCACCTATCCGATGACCGTGAGATGAACCTTGACAGGGCGGCTAATCGACCCGTATATTTTTGTACCTGCTTTTTGCAGGTTAACGTTTCCGGTATTCCTTCGAGGGCCTTAATCTGATATGGATTGACCTCGATGCCTCTTTGTGACACCAGAAAATCGAGAAATATTCCCTAGGTTATGCCGAAGGCTCATTTTTCGAGGTTTAGTTTCATGTCGTACCGCCTCAGTATGTCAAAGGCTTCCTTCAGGTGATCGATGTGGTCTTCTTTCCTTTTCGACTTAACCATCATGTCATCGATGTAGACTTCCATTATTTTGCCGAGTTGATCTTTGAACATCTTGGTGACTAACCTTTGGTATGTCGCCCCCGCATTCTTCAGTCCGAACGGCATGACTGTGTAGTAGTACGTTCCTTGGTGAGTGATGAAAGTAGTTTTCTCTTGGTCCTCTTCCTCCATGAGGATCTGGTTGTAACCCGAGTAGGCATCTAAGAAGCTTAGAAACTCATGTCCCGCTGTTGCGTCGATGAGCTGGTCGATGTGTGGCAATGGAAAGGATTCTTTTGGGCATGCCTTGTTTAGGTCTGTGAAATCAACACACATCCGCCACATTCCATTTTTCTTCTTCACCGTGACCACATTGGCCACCCACTGGGGATATTTTGACTCTCGGACGGAGCCATTGGCGAGAAGCTTATCAACTTCTGCGCTGACGACTTTGTTGATTGCGGCGTTGAACTTTCTCCTCATTTTCCGCACTCGCGGATAGAGGGGGTCAACATTCAATTTGTGCATGACGATGTCTTTAGGGATGCCTGGCATATCTGAATGGGAGAAGGCAAACAAATCGGCATTGTCAGTTAAGAATTTATGAAACTTACCTGGTTCTGAGAGATTGTCCCTAATATAAGCCTTTTTTGTGTTGTCATTGTCGTCTAGTTGGACGGGATCGAGATCTTCTATGGTCGACTCGGAGGCTTCCACGATGTCAGGATCCTTGATGACGTCTGTCTGTACGTTGAATTTGGTTCCCGACATCGCTGATTATTATGCTTCTGCGCTTGCTCCTTTTAGTTGTTGGGTGTGTGCGCAATCCTGGGCGATGCGATAGCATTCTTATACGGTGCGTTGTTCGCCCCGGATGCCGAATACCCCCCATGGAGTAGGGAACTTGATTACTTGATAGAGACTTGATGGGACTGCTCACATGGCGTGTATCCATGGGCGCCCTATGATAGCATTGTAGGCTGTATCTTGGTCCATAACGTGAAACGTTGTTTCCAGGGTGACTGCTCTGGCTAGAACAGGTAGCACTACCTCTCTAGAGGTTCGCTTGAATGCATTATTAAAACCTGTTAGAGTTATGCAATGCGGTATTACTTTATCTTCGAGTCTCATCTGTACGAGGACTCGAGGATGGATAATACACACGCCGCTTCCGTCATCCGCCATTATTCTTTCCACATCAGTATCTGTAATACGTAAAATGATGACAAGAGCATCGTAGTGAGGGAAAGACAAACCATCGGTATTTGATTTATCGAAGATGATACTATCTTCGAGTTCATCATACCATTCATGAGTGATCGACCATTTGAGTTTGCGTGTAGTGGTGAACTTTACATGGTTGATTGATGTGTCATCGCCTCCGCCGATGATCATATGTATGGTACGAGCGGGAGAGGGCAGTTTTGGAGGTCCCTAGAGTTGTTCGCGTCCGCGGGAAAAGTTAGCTCGTCCTCGGTCGCTCAGCAGTTCTTTCAGGTGTCCTTGATTTAGCATTGTCACTACCTCCTTCCGCAAACCTATGCAATCCTTGGTTTTATGACCCCTTTCCTGGTGGAATTCGTAAAGAACGTTCGACTTCCGGGTGCTCGGGTTGGACTTCATCTTTTGTGGCCATCGTACCTTTGGGACTAGCTTCTCTAGTGCGTACACTATTTTTGAAGGAGAAACACAAAAATTGTGAGCAGATAAGAGCGGGGGCATACCTCTTTCGTTTCGGTGTGGCGCGTTATGTCGAGTGGGGCATCTGTGTGCCGCGGAGGAGGTGGGATAGATGTCCTGATGTAGGGCTGATGTCTTTCTCGGCCGAGACGGGCTCCCAACTGATCCCTTCGACCGTCATTGCGATGATCTTTCCTTTCTTTAGCTTGAACTGACGTCAGTCGTTGGATCGGGCCATTGAGGTCGTCCTCATCGGCCCTTACCTCGGCGCAATAGGCATTGTGGATTTCTTCCCAAGTGGTGGGAGGGTAATTCATGAGCCTGCTTAATGGCTTTCTGGTCACTTTCGATCCATTCCTGCTTGACCCGTTCTGGAAGGTTGCTACCGCCATCCCCTTTGACACATTCGGCAGGCTCATTCTTACCCTGTTAAACCTGGCTAGGAAGTCCCTGAGTCCCTCGCCGTGTGTCTGCCTAACGGCGAATATGTTGTTTACCCTGGCTTCCCCCCTTTTAGCTCCTGCATGAGCGGTGAAAAACTTGTCCGCCATTTCTTCGAATGTTGCTATTGACCGTGCTGGTAGTTGTGAGTACCAGGTTAGGGCTCCCCCTGTTAGGGTTTTGCCGAATTTTTTCAGTAGCACTGATGGTACTTGTTCTTTTGAAAGATCGTAGCCTTTTACGGTTGTGACGTAGTGGATGATATGATCTTCTAGGTCTATAGTACCGTCATATATCTTCAGGTATGGTGGCATTTTGAAAGACTTTGGAATGGCGTGGGGGGCTGCTTCCTCATTGTATGGTTGCTCAATGAATCGACCAACGTACTGTTTTGGTAACAACTTTGGGGCGCCTGGTATTTTGTCGACCCTTTCTTGATGCTCCTTCATTTGGTCACGGAGTGCCTTATTCTCATTTTCCATTTCCTCCATTTCTTTAAAATGGTTGCGAGTGCGTCATTACTTGCGTCAACAGTAGTATGAGTGTTACCTGTGCGGGGGCATCTTGTTCGCCAGCTATTGTCGTGACATATGTGTGTGCAATGTCTCTATTCTCCCTTTGAGCGAGTTTATGAAGTATGTTGTTTAGACGTTTGTTATCCACTCTTCCCGTAGTCTTTTTACCATCGGTGGTGCCTCTCCTGTTGTAGACGTGGAGGCTTCCTTTTCACGCGAAGCAGTTACGCTTTCGTGCGGGGGAGGTGAAGCGTCTCTTCTAGGTGTAGCGTTTGGTCTCACATTTTTGTTGGCTTCCCTGCCGTCTTCGTTGATGGTGTTCAGGATGTTAGTTGTGACACCTGCTATCGCTTTTAACCTTGCATCTCTTTTTCCTGCCATTGTTAGTTTATGCCAAGCTAGCAAGAGATGGCTATCCCTTTTTATGATCTAGATGAAACTAAAATCTTAACTAAAGAAATCCCCATAGACGGCGCCAAATTGTTTGACCAAGAGATGTTAAACCCTTTGATTAAACTAATCTTATGATTAGAAGAAGGGTGAATCTCAGTTAAGAATAATAAAATCTAGACCAAGTGATAGAGGAAGTAAGCAAGATGAATGATGTTAGCTAATATGTTGGAATCAATTAAATGCTCAAAAATGCGACAACCTAAATGCGCAATCAATATAAGTAAATGCGATCGGCGTACAAAAGAAATAAGTATGAGATGATTGTGGAATCTTTGGATCTTATCAATATCGTATAGTGCAATAAATGAACAAGGCTGCTTTAGTATTTACTCTCAGATGACTCTTTTACAAAGTGTTCTTTTGTCTCTTGCCTAAATCCCCCTTTCTTTTACTAACTCTTCCTATTTAGAAAGGACAATTTCCCAAGAAACCCTAAAAAGTACAACACAAAGAATATTCCGTAAGCATATTCTTACTGTCTCCCTTTAAGCCTAAATTATCGTTATTATCTCTTTTCGACTGCCCGCTCTTGGTCGTCGACCTTTGTCACAGCGACCATCAGACGTTGTGCTACAATAACCTTGTTCCACGTCTTACTCGGCCGCTGTCGTGGTTGCCAAATTTGGACCCATACATAGATAAGAATAGCTCGGCCCCTGGCCATGTATGCACTCGTTCCATATATGAAATTGCTTTCTTCGGCCATCAATGTCTTGGTTTAACGTTGTATTGTCAATTCTTGAAATTCAATCTTTGTAACAGCTAGTCACATGGTAGGACTATCGTTTTATTGCTTAAAGCTTTTTGGGTAACCTTTTTCTCATGTGTTTACCACGAAATATGTGTAACAATTAAATTTGTTTTTGGTTTTAAAGATACGTGATTTAATTCAATACGAATTAATAACCAAGAAATCAAAAAGTGTAAATTAAAGAAGTAAGTTGAATCAAACCAGTGCTTAAGCAAGTCTTGACCTCGAGCTATGATGGCCTCAAGGTAGGTCAACAAGAACAGTAAAGTAAAGACATTAAAGTTAAGAAACAATTCTGATCCATGATGAGCAAGAAAGTAAGAGAGTATCTTCTTTTGCCAAGGATTGATGATGCATTACAAATGATGTTGTCCCCTTTATATAGTAGGGGAACCCTAAATAAGGTACATTTCTATTTACAGTAAGGAATCTTATTAGGACAGCTGTCTAACCATCTTTTCAAATCCGTACGAAATCGTACAAATCTATTCCAGAATTTACGCCATGATCTTTGGGCCATCGCGGGAATCTCGCTCTTTCTGTTATAAAACCATAACGGTATTATCTCGAGGATGGTCGTACTCGGCTCCGGTGTTCATCAAGCAATCTGATCTTCGAGTATAGTATTTTGCCCTCGAGCTCGAGCCCGGCCGATATCGAGTTTGTTCCTCGATGCGAGCCCTCAAGCCTATTAAATTGGGGATACATGATTTTACCGTATACAGATAGTCCCCGCGTTTCTTAGAATAAAATGATAAGAAATGACTTGAGCCTCGATTTTTCGGAGTCCTTGATGATGATGTCATTCCCGTGACATTGGTGTTCGAACTGACCGAAACATCCGTCAATTCGCTTCCCCAAAACATTAAATGATCCTCCAGTGGTGGTCGGCCACTAGCGCCGTTGAATCATCACCACTCGCCTATATATACAAGGTTTAATTTCGGAGGAAACTTTACTTCAATCTTCAAACCACCTCCAAACTTCTTTTATATCTCTCTCTCTCTTCATCTCTTCTCTCTCATTACTCGTTACTCCCGTTCTTCTTATTGTCAGAAAATACAAAACTATACATATCTCCACTTTTTCTAACTCGAATCAATGGAGAAAACTTCCAAGACAGTTCTTCAAAAAGAGAAAGCTTCCTCCTCCTCTTCCCGGCCGGCCAAACTTGTGGCGCCGGCCCTTCACGAGATTATACCCGGCCCCTACGTTATAAATAAAGACTTCAACATGAAAATCCCCCCGCAATCCCTGGCAGATACGAGCATGTATCCCGATATATTAGTTCGATAGAGAAGAAGCACCTCAAGGCCGTGAAGAAAGACTGTGGTCGGGGGGACGAGGTTGTGGTACAGATCCCCGACCTCGAGGAGAGCATTACCACTCATGTGGAGGGGTTCCTAAGTGTTTTCACTTACCCCTTCACACTGGGTCCCCTCGATCCGGTCGTGATCGATTTCTGCAAAAGATATAAAGTCACCCTCGGCCAGATCCACCCATCTTTCTAGCATATAGTGATTATGCTTTGCTACTTCTCTAGCAAGGCCAAGGGACTAGAGTTCACCCTCAATCACCTTATACGTTTGTATCGGCCTCAGTTTTTTTGAGGGTTGATCAAGCTCCAACACAGATCGAGCAAAGTCTTCTTCGCTAGCAATGACGAGTATAAGGACCAAGGCTAGATGAGCCTGTTCGTTCGAGTGAGGACCTCGGATGTCATCACTGAGGGCAAAATGTTGTTCCCAGAGAAATGGAACCCCAATCGTAAGTGAAGTCCTTTTCCTAGTTCCTCTTATATTCTGTTTCCGCATTGTATGATGCCTTTACCTTGTAGCTGTTTCTTGGCTGTCCCATGCAATCCTCGACCTCGAATATTGGGTCCGTAAATTAGCTATGACCTTCTCGTATGATGAGCGCAAATGACGTGACTTGTCAAGGGGAAAATAGGAGGCCAAACACCATGGTTACTTCTTCTCCCAGGTCTTTGATACTTTCCCTTTTATTGGAGATGTCATCTTACTTTGCCTAACTTTCATTCATGCAGGAATTGGAGATGTCTCCGAAATGAGGCCAGCCCCACTCGGGGAAGAGATCGAGTCCCCGATTCCAAAATAGGGGAAAGATAACAAGAGAAAAGGGCTTCGAAACCCGAAGACCCCCAAGATAAGAGGGCCCCTACTCGAAGGCAAAGGAGGAAACTCATTCATGTGGACATAGACTCAATCCACCAACTGAATGATGACGAAGAAAACGAGGGTTGATGTTTTATACTTCAATACCACACAAGAGGGGGGGTGATTTGCGTGGTACCCAATTTTCGCTTAACTGAACTATAGAAGGACCTGGTTCTTCTATGCGTCCTAACTCCTACTGTTTGCAGAATAATGAGTAAAGAAAATAAAGAACACAGAGATTTTTACGTGAAAAACACCTGGCTCAAAAGGTGAAAAAATCACGACCTACTACTCAGTAGGATTTTCCTAAACTTCCACTAAAATCACTAAGCCAAAACACCATTTACAAAACTCTTTGTAAACCTAAGGATTAACTCTAATCCCGTTGTGGCACACAGCCTCAACTGTTGCGACAACTTCAAGTTAACTCTAACTTGAACACTCAAGGTACCTAATACAATTGCTTCTACAAAAGCTGAAAGGTACAATGTAAAATCACCTACTACAATTGAACTAGAATAAAAGATAGACACTCGGAACTGGTTCTTCTATCTTGTTCAAGTAGCTTCAAGATTGCACGCTTGAATCACACATAAATTGCTTGCAAAATCGCCTTGGTCTTTTGCTCTCAATTTAAGTTTAACTTCTGCTTATGTGCACTACGTTTAAAAGAGAACAACACTGATATTTAATGGGTTAGTGTTGATACCCAATTTTTCCCTATATATTTTTAAACATGCAAACTACTTTCAAAATAGCATGAGCATGCATATATAAGCATGTCCAAATGTTTTACTATTTTTTCTTAAATTTTAAGGATTTTTAAATCAATTTATTGCCCTATTTTATCCAGAAAAAAAACCAATAATCATTCCCAAAATTATCATTTTGGTGATTCATTTATTGGATTTTCATATTTATGCTAAAATATAGCTAAGATAATTTTTACATATTTTTAACAAATTTATTTAGTATTTTTAAAGCTAAATTGTATATAATTGCAATATTAGCCTCTTGTAGATTTAATTACGTTTATATCTATAAAAGTTAAGTCCAGTATTTTTAATTTTATAATTATTTACTATTAGTCCTTCGACCCCTACTTTTCTACTCAATTTGATTAATTCCCTTACCCTGGTTACATTGGTATTTGATTCTTACCGACATTTCCTTGATTAGAATCTGATGAACCTAGTCTCTATTACATATTGTGTACTTGTACTATGCTGAAAATATTTCCTTATTTGTTAAATTCAGCCTTATGTTATTTCTTTCCTTATTTAGTATTTGCATGTTACCGTTTAAATTTAACTCCTTAATTAAAGGAAGTACTTATACTGATTTGATTTTAATTAGCACATAGTTCCATAATTACTGCTAAACTATGATTCTTGCCTTATTTTCTACCTATTTTCAAACTATAAGTACCCTGTTCTCTCATTAACACACAGGAACACTCTTAATTTTGAACTCACACTTACACTCAAACGCTCTCTCTTGTTTTACTACTTGTACTGTGGCCTGTTTAGCTGGCTCAAAGCCAAAGCTATATTTCAATCCTACTACCTTTACTGCATTTTGCTTCTTTGAACTGG